ACGTAAATTTGAAAATACCAAGACTGGCAGAAGTGCCATGTGATGTCGAGAGTCATTGATAATACCACAGATTTCTTACTGAACTGAGTTCACATTATGAGAGTGTGAGCGTGCTACAGTTCACTCTAATGTTTTAAAAAGTTAACTAAATAGTACACAATTGGTACGTACTAAAACATATGAAGTTTCTGTTATATAATATATGCCCTAAAATATTATCTTCTTCCTAACTTTAATTTACTGAGATATTTAACTTCAAGAACAAGGGTAAAATATTGTATCACGCACCGTTTAGATAGTGTACCCAGCTGATATTATCTTTTATATACATTATTATAAAAAGCAATAGTTTAGTAAAAACCAGTAACGTGGTTGTTATTTCCGTACACAATATGTGACAGAACTTACTATGTGTTTTTACGTAAGTATGTATCTACGTAAATTTTAAAGACGACGCAGCAGGCCTAAGTTTAAATCAATTCATGGAATCAATCTAGCTAGCGATAAATGAAAACGCCATCTAGTTACTATGCAGGGTAATAAGCTTTCTACCTCCTACTTTGACGTCGCGTCATAGTCGCCATCTAGTGTACCATAAACGAATCAAAATAGCTCCTGGAAGCTAAAAACTTAGCATGGACTCATTTTCTTGTATGGGACCGTGTATCTGTATATTCTGTAATCTGTGCTATAGTGAAAAAATAGGGTGGTTTGTATCAATATTAGACATAACTGGTTGAAGACTGTACCAACTCAGTCAACCGTGACCATGGGACCTGCAAAGGACCCGAAACGTAGGTTTGTTTGAAAAAACAAATATATGCGATTTAAATCCGGCAAAACAGTTTCATTTCCTATAACAAAATATTGTTATAGGTATTAGTTTTACTGTTTGGAGTTATCAATCAGAAGTCCGAAAATACATTTACCCGAAGTAATGTTTGCTCGAATTTTTGTAATCCCAAATGTACTTTTTTAGGTTATTTTAGGAATATTACTAACTTAATCTTTTCTGTGTAATAAGCTACCAAAATCCCCTGAAAGCATAACGGTTTTGTTATAAATCGGTTTTCGAGATTATGAAACTTTGAGTTTACTTCTAGTTGGAATCTAGAAATTCGAATCATCATAACTACCAACAAAGAGACACAGCTATTTTCACATTTACAATATTTGTATGTACCTACCTATATATCTGCACAACTCTTATTAAGTGAATTCGTATAAAATTCACCAAAATATATAAAATTAATTAATATTGACATTAAGACTACTCCATTACTCTTGTGTTCAAGTAGTTTTCACTAGAAGCTAAATATGGTGCATTTTGTTATTTCCTGTAGCAGCTGAATATGGATAATTTTTCGGCCTTTAAATTGTGGCAAACAAAATTAAGCAATACTGCAATGACTTTACAGTTTAAATTAAATGTTTTAGTTTTTTTAATATTTCTATACATGTCACTACGTTTGTAGAGGTTAACTCCGGCCATGCTTGTCATTGGCTCCAACGCTGACCGCGAAAAGCTATAAACTGAAAAAAAAAACTTCGGACATTTTTTCGCGGTTTTTGGATTACACTTTGGATTAAATTTATTGTCATCCATTTATTGGTAAGCAAACGGGGAATCTCCTCTGGCAAATTTAAGTAAAACAATAGCACTGTTTCACTACACAAAATTTGAAATTCACTAAATCCAGTCTAGCCAAGGGTGGAATTACATTTTTCATATATATGATTAACCAGTACGTAATACATATCGACACCGTCACGTCGATAACTTTCCATCTCTAGTATATTCATGAGAATCGCTTTATTTTTATAGGCCTATTCTGTGTACGGATATGATATGAATGTGTGTTTTATCTGTGTATTTGTAAAAATAAAGTAGTGTTGTAGAATGTTGTTTGTGCGAGACCATAGTGACATAATTCAATTTTGCATTTGAGTGCAGCTGTTTGCTTGCACATTCCTGTCACGGCAGTAACCGTAGTGTTCTGTTGCGATGTATTGATGTTATCCACCATCCGCGCCTATTCCAACGTCTCTTAATAAGTATTTTTCTCGAATTAACAAAAAATTGTAATATGCTACAGCACATAATGCTGCAGCTACAGACGTATCTAACACATCCATCTTGTATGACTACCGAACGGACAACTGTGCGGGCGAGAATGTGGAGAGCCAGTCCCGGTCTCGTCCTGTCTCAGCGAGAGCCGAGACCGGGATGTCTCGACGAGAATGTAGAGTGCACTAAACGCTAATAGCGCCTCCTGTCCTATATGCTAAAAATTATAATAAAAAAAACAAAAATTATATCGGCCGGTACCTCAATAACTAGACGTGAGAGGAACATAAGATATACGTATGTAGTAACGTGATATAGGTAATAGTAATCTATTTACAGGTATCTGTGTTACGAGGACGTTTTGAATTTGTGTCTCACGGTGTAATACTTTTGATACATTATCCCAGCACATGCTGATAGGTATGCCCAATAAACATAATTTGTTTAATTACCTGTGGCTTCTTTAAAAATAGTAACACACTCATCTAAAGCAGCGGTACTGCCGCAAAGCGTTTTCGTTCCAGTTACGTAGGCACGCCCGCCTTCGACAGTCACGGACTTTGTTCCAATATTGTAGTTGCCGTCTGCTAGGCCTTGGGCCTCTATAGCGTCGCTCACGAGAATCAAGCCTGAAATGTGATTTACTTTTTTATTTTAAAAAAGTTTGTAAAATTGGCAATTCAATGGAAATTGCATATGGCCAAAGGCTGGACGCCACAGTGCCAAAATATAAGAAAAAAAAGACTATGTTCTTTATAGTAAGTGTAAGATATGAAGTGGTCGATAGTATGAACATACTCATGTTTATTGGAATGTTTGGAGTAAATATCTTAACAGACAGTTACCGTCAGGATTAGTCCTGCATGCTATTCTTAATGCAGATGGATGAGTATGGATTCCATCGGAAATTATTCCGTAAAACACTTGTTTGTCTGTTGTAGAAGCCAGCAAACCAACAAGGCCAGGATCTCTATGGTGAAACTGAAAGTGTTAAGGCATCATCAGTATATAAATTGTTGAAAGTAGTTTCGCAACGTTCACCACTTCGGCCAACTTCAAGCTAAATTATTTTGCATCAGTTATTTATGTACAATTTATAGAGTTGAAACGAATAGAATATTCGGCCAGGAGTGTGGCCGAATAGCCGAATATTCGGTCATTATTCGGCCTGATTAACGCATATTCAAAAAAGTTGATTTTTCTGCACCATAACCTACCACTTATTAACTTCAATTATGACAAATGAAAATATAATTTGATTTGTAATTTAAATTTAAGTCATTTGAATGAAGAAAGTTGTTTGTTTATTTCACTTCAGGGTCCCAAGTCTGCCAATTTTAAGTTATCTCAGTTGTGTGTCTATAGTGTCAATGGCAGGATGATGTATGTTTTGTATATTATTAACTCTTAGCAGAATACCAAACGTGTATACAAAATACTGCCATTTTGATTAACTTTTAAAAACTTTATTCTCGTTTGGTTTACAAATAATAAGTACTTAGTTGACCTGTTAGCGTTTATTTAGTCATGACTAAACTTCAATTATAAGTAGGTAGTTTGCATTTAGTTTTTTGCCTTTTTTGATCTCTTAAAAATAACTTAAGTATGTATGTTACATTTCCTATGATGTTTTATAAAACTGCATTAATGAATAAATATTACATAATACTTTACTGTATTTTTCTTGTTTCTTTCACTTTTTAGGTATTCGGTATTCGGCCGAATAGTGATTCAATATTCCGTATTCGGCCGAATAGCAAAAAACAGGCCGAATACGCCGAATACCGAATAGTAACCGAATATTCGTTACAACTATAATAATTTATATGGACTAGTTATTGATTCGATTCAAGTACGATCTGTTAAAAAACAAAAATGGCGCCTGGCAGTGGCGATGGCGATGGAAGGAGCATTCGGATACTGGCATTGACTGATTAGCAGAGCGGGTGCATGAGTGGTTTTATTGTCCATGTATTCATGTGATTTGAAGGGTGATTTTGTAAGATTATAATAGTGAGTGTGTTATATACCATTGTTTTATCTTAAAAGTGCATGTCACACTAATAAATTATAAGAATTTACTGAAGGTTTTGATTTTGGGGTATATACAACTATATATAGACATGGCTATTGTTCAACTGAGTAATGTATTTTCTTAATAAACATGTCAAAATAAGTTAAGGTTATCTGAGAACTAAACATAAGTCAATTAATTTATGTCACGGTAGGTGAACATTTAACAAGCGACATTGAAGATCCACAGAACATAAGCAAGTAAATGAAAAATCAAGGTTTATTTTATTTATTTTATTTTACAGTTGAATGTTTATCAACATTCATATTGTTAAAAAGTTAATGTGTAGTGTATTTTTCTATATTCCAAGTAGTTGTCATTTGGTTCTGAATGTTTTAATTGAAATTATACTTACTGGCAACATAGCATTGAACAAATGTGTAATTAAATTCGCTCCACTTCTCACTGCTTCTTCACCCTGTGATTGACTCGCACTAGAATGTCCTAAAGCCACTCTTATACCTTGGCTTGTTAAGCCTTTAATGGCTTCTGTTGCTCCTGGTAGTTCAGGAGCTAAAGTTACTATTACAGCATTGTTTAGAGATCCATATGTTTCGAGGATTGAATCCAAGCCCTGTAAAAAAGCTTTTTTTATATCATCTTGTAACAATATAAAAGTGAGCCCTCATCTGACCCCAATTAATTAACACAACAGTTCAAATTGCAGGGTCAAACTGGATTTTGTAGTTCCAAAATACAACTAAGTGGTGTAAAGTAAAACAAGCCTACACAAAATTATCGGCTGCATATGCTGTCTACTATATTTTGGATCTTTATAGTGTAGATCATGCCGACTAAGCTGGATATATAACATCCCAGGCTTAAGAAGAAAAGCATAAAAATATTGTATGAATAACTTTGCTTAGTATATACTACCCAGGATAGATAAGGGGAGTTCAATAACTCATGAAGAAGTTCCTACTTAACATAAGTAGGTCAATAATAAAAAATCAGACAATAAATATTTATCGTAATGACAGGCCATTGAGCATTACAATACAAATAACAAAATGGTACGATGATAAGGGAACCTCCTTTGATAAAATTATTGGAATCACTTTGGAATAGAAAAATTTTAATTGTTAGATAAGCAACTGTGTTGCAGCACTGTTGTCTTGTTTTGTTTATACTGATTAAGCATTCTAGAGCATTGTAGGCACAATCTTAAAAATAATTGCAAAACATTTTATAAGGTTTTTAAATTAATTTTATCAAATTTCAAGCATTTAAAAAAGTAATAGAAATGTTATTTAACTACAAATTATTTTAAAAGGCTAATTAAAATTATTGGATATATTTATTATAGGATAATTAATTAATTGTGTTCAAAACAAATATAGTACTAAGGAAAGTGTACATTATGTCTATGAAGGACAGTGTAAATTATGTACGACCTCATATTATACTTATTGCAGGTCAAGAGCATGTCAAGCTTGACACTAAGATTTAAATTCAAATTTACACTGCTTAGAATGAGAATGGCTCAAAGTGTTATGTTCGATGCGCTTTACTGTACACAATTAAAAATTTTCTTTATAAAAATAGAATACAATAAAGTCCTTACCCTTTCAGGGCTTTTAATAAATTCATCAGAATGAGCTCCTTTCTTGGCCAGACTGATGAAAGGCCCTTCTAAATGCACCCCAAGGACAGTAGCTCCATGTTCACCACCTTGGCGCTTTTTTATTCTAGGTAAGATCTGCCGATAGGTTTCCTTGTCTGAAGTTACCATAGTAGGACAAAAGGCAGTAACACCATGCTTCAGCAGCTCTTTGGCTACTTTTTCAATGCCCTGCTCTACGTTTTCATGGTTGTATGAGAAGTCTATGCCTAGGCCACCTGGAAAAAATATTAAGTTGGTATTTAAGTGGTATACCAGCATAAATAATAAAAAAATACAAAGGTAAAATGTCGAGCAAACTTTTTAAATGGATATCACAAAAGAGTATATATTATACTTTATACAATTTATAGCAATAAATAAATAAATAAAATAACTTTATTTCAGACTTCAAAAGGCGGTTCATACAAGTGTTAGTAAAACAAAATTAAAATCTCAAGAAACTTCACATTTTTCAACATTATAAAATTCAAAAACTTATTTTACCATTAATTTGTATGTCAATGAAACCCGGTGCGATGACTAAATCGTCGCAGTTTACAGTTACATCGGCCTCCAGTTGTTCCACATAAAATATAAATTCAGGATTTTCAATTTTACCATCCCTTATCCACAAGTCTTCCTTCATTATTTTACTATCACGAAGAATATAACAGTTATGGAAACGCGTAAGACCCGATTTAGGCTTCATTTTGAGTTAACTAGAGAATTTAAAGTAAAAAAGAACAAGACACAATCGAAGTTCAAACGTGAATGATGTCAATGATTGTCAATGATGTTAAATAAAACAAATGACAAAAGATTTAGTGCAGTGCGGTGTCGTTTCAAAAAAAGAAAACAAACATCAGCTGTCAATGCTGTGTTTTTTTTATTGAGCTTTGGCTACAAGGCAATCAGCTTAAAATAAAATAATTATCAACCTTAAAAAGACTGTTACTTAAATTAATCGATAAACAAAACAACAATAAAAATAATTAAAATATTTACAAAGGTCCATGTGTTTAGCTGTCAACAATATACATATTTGTTGTAAAATGACAAGGCTCAGTTTATCACTAGTGTAACTTATTTATCATTCTTTGTAAAAGTATATGTATACACTAAATATATCGTCGAGAAAGTAAGGCATCGATATACAATAAATTAACTTAACTATTGTAATTGTAGCGAGAAATTGAATACATGACAGTCATTTAATGTTATTTATGAGCCATGGTTGGAATAGAATGTTCTATTATAGGTTCCATATGAATAGATAAATGTCTACTTAAATATAGATATAAGGAGGGACGTGGAGTGGTTAAGATTATCAAATATTATTTAATTACTTTATTCGAATTCCGGATTTCCTGCAGCTTGATTTTGATTGCCTCTCCCGATCGGAAACTGCGTCTTTTTCGAGTCCAGGCGTATAATATTGCGGATGGGCTACCCGATCGAATCAATTCCGATTTGAATTAAAATCAGGGCCATGAACAGCCTTACTTTTTAAGGTCTACTGTATCGTGGGATAAATGATTATCACTAGTATCAGGTTTCTTACCACGGTATGACTTCTTTTTATTTTCCCGATATTTCGGAACGGTTGCACGCTCCATGGTCACGGGTTGACTGGACGGCGGCAGATGACAGCTTTATGAGCAGACATATCTGTCTACCCTCTTGCGCTGTCGACGACTACCTTCATCGCGATTTGTTGTGGCGTTACCATTGTCACTCACTTTTTTCACACAAACCACACTCACTGTATCCACACGCGAAACTGAACTCGAGGTGTTTTTGTTTTTATTACTGCACGCACTAAGGACCGGATTCCATGCATCAAGTCATACCGCGGTAAGAAACCTGATACTAGTGATAATCATTTAGTGAATAACCACGAAAGTCTTAAAATCGTGGGATAAAATTATTAACTTAGAAAGCTGTAGTTGGATTTGAAAATAATTCTAGTGGTGCATTAATTAAAACAGGCTTTTTTTTGCTTGTAACTCGTTACAATGTTTACCTTGGTGAAGGGTTAGTTAACTATTACATTTTTTCAAATTTTTTCAATTTAATTTTTTTATTTAATTAAAAAAAAAATTGGTGGTTTTAATCACTCTTGGTCACTCCTTGTATCTGTATGTAGACATTTATCTATTCATTTAGAACACCCTATTCCGACTTTTTTGGTTATAAGTGAGTTACTAGTCTTCCTACTCAAAAAGACTAGGCAGACTTACAGAAGCGTAATAAGTAATTTTTAAATATTTTTTTCCTTGGTCCTTTTCTTCCCATCTCTACACATTTTTGCGCGCAAATATATGAAATTTACTATTTTTATCGTAGATGTAACATAGTGTCCTTTGACATCAATTACTACTGCTTGTCACACCATGTATAATATTTTTAGGCTAAAATTCTAATTTCATGCATATCGGTCTAGTTTTATTCGGTTCGTAGAAGTGATTTGTGCAATTTGAGTGGACGTAGAGAAAAGTTCGCTTGCTATGCTCGTCGCGCTTCGAGAAGGTAAGAACGGATACCTATAAGTCGATACGGATTTTGTGTCTGGGATGAGAGTTCTGAAATGAGAAAAACAAAATTAAAGCTCAAGGCCAAATACCTTTTGTTGGAGATTATTATATTAAATTTAAGTAGTCAAATTTTATGACAGCATTTACGTTTTTTTTGTAATTGTTATGCATGATAAACGAAAATATAGATTCTCACGGTTCTTAACTAGTAATTATGCTATTTCTGTTACATTATTATTGCTGTTCCTTATCTTCTAAAGTTGTATTTCTTAATAATGACATTCCATCCGGTTACGAATTCGACTACAAAAAATATACGCACTGCTACTTACTACGCCTCAATCGTTTAAGGAGTAATTTATCTAGGTAGCTATGTATATTTCACATTACCTACTCTTGATTTGCGTATTTCCCTTATGGAAAAACATTGTAAGAGCAAACGCATATAAATATAATTAACTTTCATGGACGTCATAATTACTGAATTAATTACGACAGACCCACATATTCGCTCAATTACTGTTCTTTTTGGGATGCTGCCGAATTAAAACTGCTACGCTCATAATATGCTACTTGTATAGCATGTTACGGTAAGATGTTTGTTTTCATAGCGTATTTGCGAATTAACATAACAATGGCAGAGACGTACGGAGGATAGTACTTAGGCTTCGGAAGAGTTGCGACTGCGCGGGCTGTAGAGGCATGCAGCGCGTAGCCTCAGGCGAAGTTCATACAGCTACGAGCTACGTCAGTCTGCTTGCCGCGTCTCCGGCGTGCGATACTCCGTTCACGCCTGTGGCATCTCTGCTGTCCTTAAACACGTACAATTCGCAAATCGCGTAATGTTCATACACGCGTGATCGCATGATTATCGCTACTTAACAGTGACAGTTCAAGTGATTAATACTAACATGAAAACAGGTAAAGTTTGACTATTTACGTTTAATGTTTTTTCTGTTTTGCCTGTACTTTCTATGATAGAAATTTCAATCCATCGGGAACAAAACTTTTGCTATCTCTATTGCTGTTATTTGTCAACTTTTTGCACGTAATGGATGCGGTATCTCATTATGATGATAATGATGTTGCTTTACTCTTGTTTTAGCAATTACCATGATGCCGTTTTCCGTTTTTTTTTAATATTTACATATTATTGTATTCGGTCGCCCTGGTTTTCTTTATGTCTTTGTTCCGATTAATACTTTTTATTTTTGAAGTTGATTGCATATCTGTTTATTTATTATCAGTTTTTATCCATGTTAGCTAAAATTAATCAACGAAACTTGATGTTTAACGAGACAGTTATTAAGATTGGAGTCTGTCGCTCTATTTCCTATGATTGAAATTATGAAAATTTTTCTCCTAATTCATCAATCCATTCTCCTAAGTCGTAGATAAGCAAACCATGTAAAATCTGGATTTCTCAAGATTATTACAACTCTCTTGCTGTGTAAAGTGTCATATCTAATTAAATCGATTCAAGAGCAAATATTATTCTTAATAATATTGTTTCAATACACGAGTTCATGAACCGGTCGAAGGGGAGGAAAATAATTTTCAGAGCGAGAGCTCTGTGTAAAATTTGTTATTAATAACTGATAGAAAGAAACTCCCGGGCGAAGATCTCGGCGCACTAGGCCATCGCACTTCCTTGTTAATAGCCTTCGTTAATTATGTATCCTGACTTTTTCCTCGAATAAGGAGTGTTCATTAGAATTATAAGCATTTCGATTAGATTAGGACGTTCTAGGGGTATCAACTGTTTTAATTATCCGTAAATCACGACGAATTAAGATGTCTTCCATTAAGCATTAACATTAAATATTAAAATGAGAACATAATATTACGGTAATGTTTACTTAGGATTTGCAAGAGATTTATTGTTAGCTATTAGGTTGGCTAAAAATATAGAAAATCAGTGTAAAAATTTGAATTTGAATAGAAGTTTTATTTATATATATAAATGAACGCAGTTCGGCTTTCAATTATATACGATGATAACATATATTAGGTATAGTAATCATGATTGTAACAAAAAATGTGACATTTTTATACGATCTTACTAAAATAAAACTCTTTTTTGCACATTTATTGCACTAGCTGTTGCTCGCGACTTCGTCAGCCTAGAATAAGTACTTCAAGTAGCCCCTGTAGGTACTTTACTAATTTTCATAGTTTTATTGGTTCTCCATATAAACTTTTATTCCCTATTTCACACCTTTTAAGAGATATTTTTGTGACATTTTTGTGACAAAAAGTAGCCTGTCCTTTTTCTAGGTCCCATCTATCTCTATACCGTAAACTGCTGCAACATTGCCTGTTTCGAGGTTTATACTTAAGAAGAGCGTATGTAGTTCCACTCTACAATACAAACTTGTACCTTAAGCTTTAAGGGGTTGGGTCTATATTAGTCCAAACCTGACAACTTGCAGAATTACAAGTCTTTAAATACCCAGGCAAAGTTGATATCTCAAACTACAACTTTGCCTAGACAAAAATCTTGCAATGTTTATTGTTTAAATGACTATTTTATTTAAAATCTACCAAAAGTGGGTTTATTTTCCATCCAGATGGTATGAACAGGCTATATAAGCATATTTTTTTTAAAGTAGTTGTTGGGCTTGCTTTCAGGAATCTTCCATACAAAAGCTAGGGTTGTCACTATACGAAAATGTAATTTTATGAAAAAAATTTTTAGATATTGGTAACTTAACACGAAATGTTTTATTAAAGTAAAACAAAATTAAGATATAAAAATTTTAAATTTTACTTATGTATCTATTAAATAACATAAAATATACGGAAGAAATTAACAACAACTTTGAACATGCAACAGAAAAATATTTTTTGCTTACACACTAATCAAATCAGTAGCTATAGTCGTTTTTAGATAGAACGGGTCAACGATGACGTTAGATTATTTGTTTGTAGTATCTACCCCTGCTACGTGAAAACTAATACAATCAATCACATTGCACTTTAATAACAATTACCTACCTATTTTAGAAAATAAATAGTGTCTTCATCATTGCCAAAAAGGTAATGATTGAGATTTGTAGATATTTGGATAAGTTTGACAGCTTTTACAATTGAAAAATAGCGAGTTAGAACTGTTTTTCCCACATAATACGGCTTTTCATCGAGTGTTTCAGTAAAATTTTGTAATTATTTTCCTTCAGTCTTTTCTATATTGTCAATCTTATGTTCTTCAGCTTCTGCTTTCTCATTTCCTAACTTTGTCCTTACTCAGTACACCCGTTTCATTATCAGTCTGCCTCTTGCGCTTTTTTATAGTAGA